CGGCCACCGCCCCGGCCCCAGCAGCAGCGTCTGTCAGCCCCGTCCTCCCCTTTGTCTTCCCCCGAGCCAGCTGGGGCCGAGAGCAGCCTTTCCTGGGGCGGTGGGCACAGCAGCCTCCGGGCCTCAGGTTTGGGGGGAACCGGGGGGTATGGGGGTGGGCAGGGGGTCTAAGAACCAGCGTTCAGCTCAGGGCGATTGTTCCGGAAAGAGTTTGCACAGACCGGCCTGCGTGTGAAAGCGATCATCGCTTCCTCTTCCACTGGGAACGGAAACTGGGCTTTTAGAGTAAGACCCCCGCCCTCCGTGGCCCTGGGTGTGTGTGCAGCGCGTGGAAGGGGAGCCCGCGACCTGCACGCACACGCCACACGCCCGCATTCTTCTTGGTTTCCCCGTTTTTCTCTCCCACGTGCGTGTGGGGGTTTTGAATGTGTTAGAATGTCACCCCGTGTGGCTGGCTATCCTGTTACTAATAAATGTCTTACAACAAAAAGCAAAAAGGGAAGATTCTGTCTTTCACTGAGCAGAACGAATATATGTCATTGAGCAGACACACAGGGGCTTGGAGTCATATTTTGTTTTGTTTTTTTCTTTTCCCTCTCTTTTTTAAATGTTTTAAATTGGTTTGAGAGAGAGAGAGGGAGACTGATCTATTGTTCCATGTATTTCCGCATTCATTGGTTGATTCTTGTAAGTGCCCTGATCGGGAATCGAACCGTGACCTCCCGGTTCATAGATTGACACTCAACCACTGAGCCACGCCGGCCGGGCACATCAGGTTCACTCTTGGTGCTGTACGTCCGGAGGTGCCCGCTGAGTGCCCGGCTTTGCGCTGGGCGTGGGGACGCCGCAGGGAGCCGGTGTCGCCACCTGGGACGCCGTCCTGAAGTCGCCCTGGGTGACTGAGCACGTGAGCTGGCACTGCCGCGGTGCAGCTAACGGGAGGGGACACTGTTAATGACCAACTAACAGGTCTCTGCCCAGCGGGCGGCTGTGCTTCGGCGTTGCCAGGAGGAAGGCGCTGCCAACCGACCGCTGGTCCCTGTTCCCAGAATTTCTATGAGCGGGAATTTGGGTCAGGACGTGACAAGGATACAAAATCCAACGTCTCGCAGATGACTTAGCACAGATGTCTTCATTCTAAGGGTTTGCTTTTTTCCTTTTTAATTTTTTAAAGATTGATTTCAGAGAGGAAGGGAGAGGGGATAGATAGAAACAGCAATGATGAGAATCGTGGATTGGCTGCCTCCTGCACGCCCCCCACGTGGGGATGGAGCCCGCAATCCGGACATGTGCCCCGACCCGAATCACCTGCACGCCCCCCAGTGGGGATGGAGCCCACAATCCGGACATGTGCCCCAACCGGGAATCGAGATGCTCAACCACTGAACCACACTGGCTGGGCCTAAGGGTGTGTTTTCCTTAAAACATTTCTCCACTGCCTCCCAGTCCTCCTGGGCTGCCCAGTGTGTGTCCGGTAGATGAGACGCTTACTCAGCAACTGGTCACCTCATTGGGGATTCATGGGCAGGAGCCCAGGTGGCAGGGGCGTCCCAGGGCCCCGAGAAGTCACCGGACCCCAAGCCCTTGACTGAGTTTAGAAAACCAGACGATTTTTGTTTCTCGTTTGGCAGCAAAACCCAACCTGAACAGGGTGGCTTCTGAGGCAGGTCTGCCCCGTCCTGTGAGGGCTGTGCCCCCTCCCCCCGGGTCCAAGGACCCCGCACACCTGTCACCGTTGAGCTGAAAGACAGATGCCACCGCTCAGCACAAGGGTTCAGGTGCGCGTCAGGTGCAGGTTAGCAGACCTCCCACACGTCCCAACATTCCCAGCTCTCTGCCCCTCAGCACCCCACCCTGACCCCCATCCCGGGGTCAGCTCGTCAGGAGGGCTGGCGGTGTGGCTCCTACAGGGGGTGTCACCTTCCATGGACCCTCCCACGTCTGCAGGGCGCATCTCTGATGGAGGGGACCCTCCCCACAGGCGCGAGGCCCCGGCCCAGGGGAAGGAGCCACGGGCGTGAGTGAGGAGTCACCCGCGCTGACTCAGAGGAAAGCTGTGCTCTTGGCAGACATTTCTTTTATTTAGAAAATATC